TATGGAGGAACAGTAACTGGTGAGGCAAAAATTTCAAGATAGTTAAGTTTGGTAAAAAGGATAGTTGTAAATTTGAGAATAAGATTTTTAAAAGTAGATTCAAGTAGATCAAAGGGAATAGTAGCACTTTTGTCAATATTAGGGTTACTATTATAGATGAGATCAGTTAAAAATTTAGGCCGTTGCCTAGTCATTATACAGATAATATAGTAGAATGAGGCTTTAAGTGCTGGTTGGTTAGTAGTAGCTGGCTTGATTTCCTTGCCAAGATAGAAGTTATAGAGGAATTTTTTGAGAAAAGTAAAAAGTTAGAGAGAAAATGAAGTTTGTAATTTTTTGTTAAATTGCATTTCTTCAGTAATAGGAAAATTTGCAACCCAGTCATATGTAGGATTAGATTTTGGCTTGGCAACACTGGAATAAGATTAAGGAGAAGGTTTGTTTAAAGTATTGTTAGATTGATTGGAATTGCTAAGATTGTTGGAACTTGAGTTAGAGTTGTCGAGAGTAGTGAGAATTGGAGGTTGATTAGAAACAGGATTGGTATTAGTAGCTGTAGAAAAGAAGGAGTCAATCAGATCAGAAGCAGCTTGGGAGTTTTGTTGAAATGAGGCAATAGGAGGGTTAGTAGTTTGAGAAAATTTATTTAAGGTATTTTGAAAGATTTGTGTAAGATTTTTCTTGGTCTGAGATGAGTTGGCTTCATGTTGAGATGAAGCAGTCATACAAGCATGATAATAAACTTCATTATTCTTTGTGACATATTTTTCATTAGGGTAGTGGTGCTTATTTCTTTTGGTACAAGCAATTGGAAGAGAGCATTTAGGGCAGGTATGGTAGTAAACGTCAGGTGTAGAAAATAGAGGAACACTATCAGTCGAGAAAGAGAGGTTGATCAAGAGTTGTTGAGCTGGTCTATTTAAATTTTTCTTTAAATTGGTATTAATATGAACTGTAGTAAGTTCGGTAGCTTGAGTATGGTTAGTATTGGTAGGTGAGATAAATTTGGTGTGATATTTGTCACAGAGACAAGTAATCACAGAAGTGGAAGAATGAGCTTGAAAGAAATGAGTAATTTTATTGGATCTAAGATTTTTAGTTAAACAAGTAGTAGGTTTAACTTTAGTAGGAATTGGATGAGCATTGTTGCTACTTTCTTCTTCATAAAGGGCAATTCCAAAACTGTTAGAAAAGTTTTGGTAGAAGTAGTTAAGGTCTGCTGTATCTGGTTCTTGGTTAGTTAATATAGGCATTTTTGGAGTATAGATGAATGAATAGGGATTATAATAATAACTTAAAAAGTTTTTCTAAGTTGAAATTGTAATTAAATAGTTAGTTTACAGGGATAGTAATAAAAACATGGGTTGTAAGATTAGAAGGTCACTGGAATAGCACAGGGTGTTGCAAAAATGGCTGGGGTCACTGATGTGACTTGGGTACTGTACACAAATAAGATTTGCAATACAAATTGTTGTATATTATTAATAGAAACCAAATATGGAAATAATTAGGTTATGTTAAATGAATTTCTATTTATAGATAGGTTACAGAAATTTTTGTGTAAATTAATAAAGTACGGATTGGGAAGTAATAGTATTGTTACATGAAAAACATGTAAGGGAAAAAGAGGACAGGTAGGAACAAAAATAGAAGAAAGAAAAGGTTTTACAAGAGAGTAAAAGAGAAATTTCATTGTAATTCAGCCAATATTAGGCCAAAATTCTTCATTTAGAGCTTGTTTTGATCAGGCAAATGTGTATTACAATTTTAATTAAGAGTATAGAATATGTTATTGCAGTAGAAACTGCGAAAAAAATTTAATTATTAAAACTGGGGCCAAAGGCTGTTAGTACAGTTTTCTCAATGAGTTTAAAAGCTAAAAGTATAATATTTGCAGGATATATGTAAAATTCTGAGCTAAACAAGTTTACTTAAGACATCAGAACAGGTTACTTAGTAAAATAAATAGTTATAAGCATTTTTGTACAAACGATTTTTTAGTTACTTTTTTGTGCAATAGATTTGTAGAAAGAGTTTTTTTTTTTACTAAATATAGTTATTATATGTATGCAGTTATGATATACATATTAAAATTTCTGTATATGTAAATAATACAATATACACAAAAATTAGAATATCTTAATTGAATAATAACTATATAGTTACTATTGTAACTATATATAGTTATTACATAGTTATAATATATTAAAATATTTTTTAATTTTTGTATATTAATTACCTGAGTTAATATTTGAACTTCAGTTTCCAAGGTTTTCTGAAGATTTATATAATCATTTTCTGAATATAAATGCCTAAATACTAATTGCATTGATTTAGAAACTAAAACCCAATATTTAATTAATGACTTAGTAACTAAATTAATATGATTAGCATTAATTCTTTGTTGAATTTTTACTAATTCATTATGCTTTAAATGGCAAGGTTTTAAAAATCAGATAAGAATAAATGGTATGATCATTGCTAATCGAAGGTAGTCAGATATCATAAAACTTTTATGATAACTAATTAGATTAGGCAGCTTTCCCCAATATATTGGATACTCAAAATTTTTCCAATGTTTAAGAAATGTTGTTTGACCTTCTAGTGAAAACAAATTGACTGTTAAATTCAAAAGTCTCATTATTTTGCCAGCAGTTGCATGATAAATATCTTGAGATGTTTGAAGATGCTGATCCCATATTAATTGGCTTAGCACTGGAACTTTGTTACATAATCCATAATTGGTTAAAATTATTTCATGTTCTCTTGCAGTGTGAGCAGATAAAACTTTATTAAATTGTTCATTTGTAATATGGCAATACCTTGAAAGCTGTGCAATATCTAAATTATTATTTGTTAATTGTTCTTTAGAAGCTTGACAAGTTCTACAACCTTTGTTAGCACCATGCCATTTTACACCTGCAAGATTATTTCCTTGTGGAAGATCAGCTGTAACCACCTCAAGACTAGCAATTATCCAATAGTCTTGACCCTGAATATTTATAATTTGGCTACACTCTAATGATTTCATTTCTGTAATAAATGGTTTAATAAATTTATTAAAAGTTCCACCAAAAGGTACAAACCCTAAAATGAAATGATTTTTTAATAGTTTTCTTATAAACATTGGCATGTTTCCAAATTGTAAATAAATTCCACCAAGAGAATGATATACATTTCGATATGTTCCAAAATCATCATAATAAAGATCTAGAAATAATTTAATAACTGGCATATCTTTATTAGATGGTGGTAATATCTTTGTATATTTAGATGAATGTTGATACTCTAATAAGATGCTTTGAATTTTCTAATGTTTATTTAATTTATAAACTATCTCACTTATATTATGAGTAAACTCAGGTTCTCTATATGATGTAGTAACACTAGCATGATTAATAACATCTTGTAATTCAACTAATTTTATACTATTAAGCTCAAATGAATTATCAATTAACCATACTTCACCAAGCTGAGAATGAAGTTTTTTGTCATTGTTATAAAAATTCTTTGGAAGTTCATGATATTTTATTATCTTTTGAACTTTTAATTTTAAAGTATTATCTGAGATAATAATAGCTCGAATTCGTCCCAACTTTTTAACATTGTCTCAATAATAAATAAAATCACTAGCATAATATGTACCTAGATTTTTTTTAAAAAATAATTAATTTGTTAACTATTCTATACAAAGCTTAATACTTAAAAAAAAAAAAAAAAAAAGTCAATTAGTCAAATAGAACATTTGACTAACATTTAAACTAATATTTAATATGTCATATTCAATCGATATAGCAAATGCTATTTTGAATAACTGCCATTCAGCATGTTTAATTTTGTTATTTTTTTTATAATAAAAAAAACTTACATTTGTTAATTTTAATTGAATCTTTGCCATATAGTGGAGATTCAGCCCATAAATTACCATGCCAATATTCTGATTTATTGGTAATTTCTTGACCAGGTCCAAAGTACATATGTTTTATTAAAGTTGGATTATTTAGTACATGCCAAATAATATCATTAATAGATAAGTAATAAGTATCTTTAGTATTTTTAGAATTTGATGAAGTTTTTTTAGCTGAAATATTAATAGTTCTTGAATATATTGGTATAAGAG